CATTAAAGCAAGCCTGCTTCTTCACTTGCATAGGCCACACACAGTAGAGCCTAAAGCAAAGGCTTCCTCCTTAAAGGAGATCTATGGGGTCAGGGCTTTTCCCCATAGTTCTCCTAAGGGTAACGGGAGGACACAAACTAGCGTCCTCCCGTTACCCTAAGCTCAGTATACCGCGAGCTACAGGTCGGCTAGAACTATGAGGTGAGTGAAAAGCACTCACCTCATAGTTCTCCTTTAATAGAGTAAACTTGTGTACATTCTAAAAGCTCACTGCTTGTCATTGTTATAGCTGCGCTGGGTTGCATCACAGTTTGTAGAGCAGATGACTTATGGGTTCCGGTTTGAAGACCATTTTATTGTTGCGGATAGCAGAATGATGTCATAGACCACAATCCCTTCTAGGCATTGGTGACCCTGGAACAGAGACAATGACAACCATGTATCTCTCCTTCCACCTGGCTGCGTATCCAGTAACTTAAAGGAGAACTATGACATGAGTGATTTCCACTCACCTCATAGTTCTAAGCCGACCTGTGACAATGAGGCACGTGTGTTTGGGGGCACAAACATGAAGCATTCAGGACTAAAGAAGGAGTGGAAGTATCATAAACAAGGTATGACCTAATTATATACCTTTCTTGTCTACATGTCTTTGCCTTACCCATGTGGTGGCTTCAAGAGAAGCTCACTCTATAATACCTGGACATGAAATGAATGCATTGCTAGATCACATCAATGCATTTCCTAGTTGACTGACCAAGTAGGATTTTTTTTCAGCCGTGTGTTAGATGGCACCCAATTACACCTCATTGTGGCCATTTTATATTATATAGAACATCATTGCAACCTGAGATTTGGTCTAGAAAGAGAATAAGGATGGGGATTACTTACCTGCTCTTATTTACTGTATGGTTTTTATAAACCCTGACTGGGGTTTTGTCCTCCGGGGGTTTGATTTTTGAAGACCAGTGGTAAGTGCACACATTCCATTGGGCCATAATAGACTCAGATACGTTTATACAATGTCCCATTAACCCTAAACAATGTTACATTGCTCTCCATTATAGCTATAATAGGACAATGTCGCACTGCAATATACTATATTATACCAAGCACACATTATGCTGTCTGCACTGTACCCATATCAACACATTTTATTGTATCCTATCAGTGTATATTGCCAAGCATCCTATGACACCCAGAACATGTTACTGTGGTCCAATTACATTCAGCATACTGTACCCCATCATATCAAACACATTATTCACTAACCCCTAATACACATTGTAGGGGACAATTTACCATTAGGCACAGTAGGCCTTTGCCCGTAGGCAGCAGAGTCAAACGATGAGGCTTTTCCCTCAATAAATACCATGCGTCCCATACAAGTTTATTTACACATTGTCTTAATATTCGAAATCAGTGGTTCTCAACCTGTGTAACCTCAGGACCCACATTTGCCCTTGGTCATTAAGTTGCGACCCAAGTCGCACTGCAATGGAAACGCACAGCATTGCGGTACTGCGCATTCTGGTGCAGGCGATTGAACTGTGGGCAGGAGGTGTGTTTGGGGTGCCATTCAAATGAATGGCAACGCACCTCCCACACTAGAATGCGTAGTAGGTGTGATTGCATGGTACAATGCGTTATTTGCACAGGGCTGTTCGATTGACACACTGTATTAGTGTGAACGGGCTTTCAAAAACACTGAGAGACGAATGTAGAGCTTGTAGGCACTGGCAGGTCTGAAAAAAGTAGGTGTAAACCTTTACTGAATGTATTGTGGTTCGCATTATGGTGTGTATCCTTGAGAATATGGGGGTAGGGGAGGGAAGGGTTTTTACTCTTTGTTTTTAACATTTGTTACATCTTAAAGTGACATTAAAGGAGAACTATGGGGTTAAGGCTTTTCCCCATAGTTCTCCTTAGGGGAACGGGAGGATACAAACTAGCGTCCTCCCGTCACCCTAGGTTCAGTATACCACGAGCTGTAGCTTGCGGTATACTGAGACGCCGCAGTATACCGCAAGCTGCTGCTCGCGGTATACTGAGACGCCACAGCTGAAGCGGATCCCGACAATTATGTCTGGATCCGCCCAGCTGCGTGACTGACAGCTGGCTCTGCCTATCTAGAGGCAGAGCCAGCTGTACACGCCCCCTCCCCCGTCCGTTCCGCCAGTCAGCGCTGGTGGAGCGGGGAGGGGGGAATCCAGTGTGTTCGCTCACCTCCCGATCTACTGAGCCGACCTGTGACAGTCTCATTGTCACAGGTCGGCTAGAACTATGAGGTGAGTGGAAATCACTCATCTCATAGTTCTCCTTTAAAGTCAAAAACTTTTTTCACTCACCCAATGTTAATGTCAGCACTTACCCTAAATTATGTTTCTTAATCTGATCTTCTTCTTTCCTGTCCTTTTCATCTGTCCCTCCAGCGCTGCCGCGTGTCTCCGATCCAGCACTGACTCCTCTGAGCTTGCGGACACTTCCTGCATGCGTGTGCACACGTCCATAGACTTACCTTGTGTCTCTCCTCGCGTCCCGGCCGAAAATGTGAACTGCGTATGCGCCCGCCCCAAGATGCTTTGCGGCCGCCCGAGAATTTTCACATTTTTGGACGGGAGCGTGCGGGGAAGACACAGGTAAGTATTAGCCCTTTTCTTTTTAACACTTTTTGCATATATCTACTGCTTGCTAGCAGTAGACATATGAAACCCCCCCCCCCGCGGGGGGTGATAACCACCTTCCATACAGTAAAAAACCCCCCCCCCCCGGAGGGTTTAATAACCCTTTAATGCACTTGATGTCCTGCAGCCCATTTATAGATTTTTCGTGGCCTAAACTTGGACTCCGCGCATGCGCAATAGCAGATGGTCTCTGACAGCATATTTCATTATTATTGCTGATTGAAATTGTTTTATTGATAGGCTTTTTTTTTTTAAACCGGACCTTCCACAAAAATGGAAGGTCCACTTTATTGAAAGTCCCCAACCCTCCAAAGTCAAATCACCTGCTTAGGCAATTAAAAAAACATACCAACTTCGGTCCAGCTTCAAACACTTGTGGGTGGTGCAAGTAATGGCTCCATGCCTGACCGTTGCCTCCTGGAATAGCAGGGCGCTAGAAATCCCACTTGAGTACACCCCTGCAATGGGCTGGAGAGAAGCCTCATAGAAATTCAAGCACCCAGATAACCCAGGAGGCAGTGGTGAGGCACAACCCCCCTGCCGTAAACCCATATACAGTACTTAAAAAGTGCGTGCTCTTTTCTTAGTTAAACATATATAAAATAAATGTACCAGTTTTATCAGTAACATCTGCAGTGGGTGTTGGTATTCCTCTGCGATCAAAGGTCCGATTTGTTTTCTTAAATTGAATTATTTTAGAATTTAAGTGCCACACCGGGCAGATATAAGTTTATTCAAAGACAAATATTTAACAGAAGCCAACACATTTTAGGACACGGGTGCCCACAATGTTTCGCCTGAACTACTTTTCAAATGATGAGCTCAATGAGATCTACCAACGAAAGAACACCTACATTCAGGGGTTGGAGATTCCTGGCCAACGCAATCTGCAATAATTGGGTCCATTCAGGTTCAAGGGGCCAAACGTAATGTGAGGCGTGGGACTCAGGTAAGCCAATCTGCTTTACTCCGATCCCCTAGACAAAAACGAGCACTTAACCCTTGCACTGCAATTGCACTTTCAGAGATGGATTTCAAAAGTGATATTAAAGTAAAAAGGATCTTTAAGCTATTTCAGATGCTACGAAAGAACCAATACCGGCGCCTCCGGTTGCAAGATGGGCTGGTTTTAAAGTTGGTTTAAACACCCAAAAGGCAGCTCTCACTGGTCAAAAAGACCATCGATCTAGGAAACAAGGGACAAGACAGAGCGCCTCCATAGTGTAAAAGGGTAATTTATTTGTACAACACGCAAATGAAAATGTACTTACAGGAAAGTCGGTAGTTAAAAGCATACAAATGGTGATGAAGTATAAAATCTCTAGCAGCGGAAGTCTGAAGGAGTACAACACATCAGCGTCATCTGCCCCCTTGAGTTCAAAAGGTCTACGCCCCCTTCATCAGAAACAGAGGCCCCTGAAACGCGTAGACCTTTTGAACTCAAGGGGGCAGAGGACGCTGATGTGTCGTGGCTTATTCATATGGAAATAGCTCCGCCCATTCTTATGTACATATCACAGTTGAGGCTATTTTCAGTGGGGGGCCAGTAGCCCCCATCTTAATTTTGGTTGCCCCTGTCTGCCTGACATCTTGTGTCCGGGTTTCTGCTGCCATGAAACCCAAACACAGCATTCAAAACCTGGACTGTCCGGGTGAATCCTGGACAGGTGGCAACCCTACGCGAAGCCCGCATTTTATGCATGTTCACGGAAATGTGGCAAAACACACAACGCATCTGACAGGAAGACATGCATTTTTGCTGTGCGTTTGCGTGCATGAATACACGCACAAATGTGGAGGCAAGACATGCAGAACGTGTGTCGCAAAATCTGCTACATGAGCTTTTTTGACACTTGTTTGAACTCAATGGGGACCTGCAAACGTGACGTGTGTTCATGCCATGTGAACATGGGCTAAAAGTACAATGACTCCCTATCACGCCCAGCAGACAGTAATCCCCCATATAAGCCGGACACACTACAATAGAACATTATAACAGACACATTGTAACTGATACACAGCATCTCCCATAGACACAGCGCACGGCTACCCCCAGTCAAGGTGCATTCGTCCCATATACTCCGCTAACAGCGAAAACCACGCCCCTCTCCGGCCCCCTCACTGACGTCACTTCCGTCCCCGAACCCACTTTGGCACAGTGCATAGTAAGCAGGGACAGCTGTGCGGGGACGGGCGGAATGTGTGACAGTGGCGGACAGGAGTGTGCTGACAACCAGCTCTGAGCAGACACACAGGACCGGTGACACGGGGGACTACCGGACGGAGCGTCAGTCAGTTGTTTGTAGTGTGCAGAGCCATAAGTAGAATGGGACATATAGGTGAGGCTGACACCGTCTAATGGTCGCTCATTGTGGCAGGATGGTCATTGCACTGGGACTGACACCGGAACACAGCCGGGACACACGGAGGACTGACACAGTGTCACCATATTGTGATAGACATGTGAGACTTCCACTCAGCTGTCACTGGGACTGAAATGAGCTGAGTATGGACTCCAGGACCAGGTGAGAGCTGATCGCTGTGTGTGTACTGCCCCGACCTGTCATAGATCGTGCGATCCCACAACTGACATATGTCATGCATTCTGTCCCTGGTATTAACACACAGCACTCCTTGCTGTTCCCTGTCCCCCTGTAACAGAGTTATATTACCTGTTGCCCCATTCACACTTGTGTCTGGGACACTCCCCCTTACCTCCATCAGACTTAATGGGGGGAATGTATCAAAACTGGCACAGTTGCCCATGGCAACCAATCAGCTTCTGTCTTTCATTTATTCATTTAAGCTTTGCAAAGAAACTGATTGCAAAAAGAAAGAGAGAAGGTGATTGGTCGCCATGGGCAACTGCTCTAGATTCTGTCTGCTCCATTTTTGATCAATTCCCCCCAATGTGTTAATGTGAACAGCTGTGAGTGATCGGATATGCAGCCATGACCTGTGGATGATCAACCTTGCAAGCTAGGGGCGATCACCTGCAGGTATTTGCGGCATGTCTGATTAGATGCAAAATGGCTGTGGACACTGTTAGCTGCCATCACCCAACACTCATTTGCATGTAATTGAACATGAAGCAATTTCCTGGGGGTGATGCCCCCCCTTCCCCCGGATGCAAACAGTTTGCATCAAGGGGTGATCACTGCATGTCTGATTACATGTGAACGGCTGTGGGTGCTGTCAGCTGTCATTACCCGCAGCCATATGCATATAATCGGACATGCAGGGATAACCTGCGGATGATCACCACCCTGGACACAGTTTTAATCAAGAGGTGATCATCCGCAGGTAACCGCTGCATCTCTGATGACGACATGTCAATGGCTGTTGGCATTACCCGCAACCAATCATTTATAATCGGACATGCAGTGGTAACCTGCGGATGATCACCCCCCGGACACAGTTTGCATCAAGGGGTGATCATCCGCAGGCAATTGCTGCTTGTCTGATGGCATGTCAATGGCTGTGGGTGCTATCAGCTGTCATTACCCGCAGCCAATCATTTATAATCGGACATGCAGTGGTAACCTGCGGATGATCACCCCCCGGACACAGTTTGCATCAAGGGGTGATCATCCGCAGGCAATTGCTGCTTGTCTGATGGCATGTCAATGGCTGTGGGTGCTATCAGCTGTCATTACCCGCAGCCAATCATTTATAATCGGACATGCAGTGGTAACCTGTGGATGATCACCCTCGGACACAGTTTGCATCAAGGGGTGGTCATCCGCAGGTAATCGCGGCTTGTCTGATGACATGTGAACAGCTGTGGGCACTCTCAGCTGTCATTGCTTTGTATAGTGCGTTCCACCTGCAGCTGTTCACATGGACACCACTGAGTCAAATGGAGGAATTTGTGAGACTGCCCCAAAGGTGAGAGTGCATGAGGCCTAAGGCTTCATTCCCACCAGCACTGCTGTGTTGAGCTTAAGCGCAGGAGCAATTATCTGGGAAGTCCAAACAAAGTTCCTGCTTCACTGATCACTTTTCCTGCGTTTAGAAGTTCCTGCTTAAGATACAGTTCACACTGTCTTCAGGCGATTCTGAATATTTTTTTCCCCCCGCATATTTCATGCCTGAGCTGTTTTTTGTTTTAGCCAATTTAACTAGTTACTTCAGGAGGAGGAGACAGTTGTTAGGAGCAAAATCATGTCGGAAAAACGTGTTCTGAGTATTTTTCTAAACTCGACTAAACTCGACTAAGTGCAGCTACAAGTTCAGTCTGAATGATGCCATTGAAAACTCATTACTGGAATTTATATGCATTTAGAAATGGGCTTTAAAGCAGAACTCCCAGATAAAAAAAATGTTTAACCCTTTCAGTGAGGCTACCCCTGCACTGCAAGGGTTAAGTGCTATTTTTTCTAGGTGCTAAAATTCCAAAGTTATACTCACGCAATCCTCCGAGCCGGGTTGCTCTTAGATCGGTCCTTCCAGCCTCTCTCCCCCTCTGCTGCAGTGATTAGGGCTGCAACTAATGATTATTTTCATAATTGGTTATTTGGCTGATATATAGATTTATTTTTAATATATGTACTCTAAGCTCATGGCGCTAGAATAGCTTCAGCCAAGGAATGGCAGCTGCCAGTGGCAACATTCCACAGATGACGGCTGAATTTAAATACAGCAGGTAGTGGGCTGGTGCAATAGCCAGCCTGCTATTGGCCATTTCAAATTGCAATAGCCAATAGTAGGCTGTCTATTGCACCCGCCTGCTATGCCCTCCTCCCAGCGTGGAGGAGCGAGCTAGCGGATCCAACCAACTAATCGATAATGAGAATAGTTGTCAACTATTCTCATTATCGATGAATCACTTTGTTGCAGCCCTAGTCCCTTGCCGACCACACGTCCAGTACACAGTCTATAGAACGTGATCACTCACGAGACCTTAGACCACTGCAGCGGAAGGGCAGTGAGGCGGAAGTGACCGTTCTAAGAGCAAACCAGCTTGGAGGACTGGGTGACTATAACTTTGGTATTTTTGAACCTAGATTAAAATGAGCCCTTAACCCCTTGTAGCACGGGGGCAGCTCCACTGCAAGGGTTACGCATTTTCTTCACCCGGAGTTCTGCTTTAAACACACATAGACGCAGGTTTGACACTGCAAGTGTGAATGAGGCCTTCATCTGTTATGTTTGTTTCCTTTCATGGGCCAAGCTGTCCAGCAAAAGTGGCAGCTAGAGGGTTGAGACAAACTGTTGACCACTGACGTGGGTGGGGGGGTGG